ATTGCCTCTATACATGTTTGCTATGTTAAATTGTGTCGTGAGAAATTTTCTAGCATTTTTTAAAGCCAAGTTACACTAATAATAAATTTGTGAAGATTAGCTATAGCAAAACTGAACCTTGAAAACTGCATAGAATAAATATTCTAGCCGAGTAAAAGATAAGGGTTTGAGTTGCTTAGTTATGAATCATTTCAAGCTGATAATTGCATGAATTATCTTCAGCCTGTCAGCTTCAGCCTCCTTCTTCGCATTATTGGATTAACTTTTCATCAAAATCTTTCCACTTGGCTAATTCTTTTCAACAGTCTTTGCTCTCACTCCAAATTTTAGGTAGATTTTTGCAAAGCACTCACTGATTTAGCTTTTTGCTGCATATTTCTTCCGTTTCATTGCCGCCACTGTCTCTTAATCCTCGCTCAATCCATCCAAGTAAACTTTTAAAAAATATCCGTCTTTTTTCTTCACGCAAATCAAGTTTTGTTAGATAAAGAGATAATTTAATTTGCAATCCAACAATTTTGTGATATAATTGTGTGCATATTGTCGAAATTCGTTGTGAAGGGTGCATCTTCTTCACTTAATCGCTTGACTTTAAAAACCATCATCGATGAATGCTACATATTGATCAGCAAGTTTGTTATTAATTAAGTACTCGATAAATACTTAACTAGAATATTTTTACAATTGAAATTTTCTTCAGTAAATTTGCTTATATGATGAGGTATAGCAATTACGCACATTTCGCAAATATATAGACAGATTAGACTAATTATACTAAACATGGCTGATTCCTTAATTCTATTTTTTTAAGTGTTTTAAACGCTATCACTGTCAAAATGAGTTAAAAAATAGTTTATAGAAAAATGCTTCGTCGATTAAAGTGAAAGCGTGTAGTGTGTTGATTTGTATAGTGATTCTTTTAAATTTTCATGAGGAAAACTTTTTTCCCATCGCGGCATTCCTGCTCCTTAACGAGAACACAATTTATTAAACAAGCGATGAAAAGTCGTCAAGGTTAAACATTCGCTCATTCTTGACGCCTTTGCAGATGAGAAATGTTGTAATGCTATCAAGTAAATGTATCTTTTGTCTGTGCTTACTCATAACATAAGTTTTTCAACTTTCTTACAACTTTTGCGGCAAAATTTTCACCTATTTTTTACTCATTTAGTAATTTCATAGATTTTTCTTTTAACCATGTCTGAATCTTCGTAATGTAGTTTGCATATAAGTGATCACTGAATTTAGGGTAAATAATTACTTGTCATTTACGTGTTCTAAACCTTACATTTATAAGATTAACTCGTAATATTTGTTGCGACTTCTTTCCATGTTAATTGCAAGTAATTCTGAAAATAAGTTATATTTCTTTATAATTTATGAATATAATCATGATTAATTAATTGATAGATAAATAACTTTCGTATGATTTTTCGCCTCAAAATAATTGACATTCTATTTGCCAATGCACAAACAATCAACTACTTTTGTTTGCTCATGCAGAGAAAATCAAAGTAATTTATATATCAGCGGTCCTAATAGCATGCACATTAATATCATCACTTCACTTCCCGACTAATTACATAAAATCTTTCATGTCACAAACAAACTTTATTTTCTGTGCAAGACAAGTTGATAATTAGATAAAAGAAGGTCGGATGGATGTATTTACTACATGTTATGAAAAGAAGCACAGGTGAAAGATATTAAAGCATCTTTTGGGATATTCATTCAGTGGCATGCATTACGTGTACTGGCAAAGATATTTTTACGAATTCATAAGTACCCTAATTGTTTGCTGAACTAATCGAATAAATAAATAAATTAAATAAATAAATAAATGAATAAATAAATAAATAAATAAATACCTCTATCAATACATATTTCCAATTGCACTGTCTCTCTCAGCAAATTTCTTGTTTGCTTTAAATTCATTCACACTTTTACTGCACGACAGATTTCAAATCGTCTGAAATTTTTCAAATAGCAAGCGATCCTTCACCTCTCTTCAACTACTATTGTACATAATAACAAAAGATTGCAGTGACATTGTTCATTCAACAATTGCTAGCCTCCTATTTTTGCTCCCATCCATTTTCCCTCACGACTCCTTACATCATTCGTCATCACTGCTGCTATTATTAACAAATATGAATGATTATGACTATGTTATCATTAATTTTTATGATAATAAATAGTTATAAGTGATGTCACTGATTTCTAATGTTATAAATTTGCAGTGTATTGTAAACCCACCAGTTACCACTGTCGATACTTGTGCTCATTCCTCGTTGAATAATTTATTTATTTAGTCTTTTCATATTTGTATGTATCGACCACCTCTTCTGCCTCAGTAAAGCTTCTTTTCCTCTATTTACTAAATATATACCAGTTATTGATTGGTCAATCGACTTATTGATCTATTGGATATATTATTTCTTTGTCATTGATCCACTTGCACTCATCCAACAGTTTCTTCTCTCTGCTTCTCCTTCTAACCACAGTACCGTGTTGTTTTACATTTAAGCTTTTTTCTCTTCTGTAAACGGTCGGATTGTGATTGACCCTTGCTGACCTTTTAAATGAAATACTATTATAGTTGACCTGTAGTATCTGTGTTATTATGATCATGGTGTTTTTTTCGTACAAGTTGACCTTTTCAACTATTACTGAGAGTGTCATTATTAATTATTTTAATTCGATAATTGTATAAATTGTGATAAGGTAGGTGGAGGGAAGCAATTCCAATTATGAAATTTGGGCTGAAAGTATTTGTGGGACCTAAGGTTGCTGCTTTGATTAATGGTATTTTTGGTTTTTTGAAAATTTATAATTATCAAATGGTGACTTAGGGTGGTATTTGACTCTTGTAGGACTGAGCCGCATTTAAGATGGTATATTGTACAGGAAGTTCACGATTCAAAGAAAAGTGTATCTAATCGTTTCTAATTGTCTGCATCCAGCATGCATCTGCGCCGTTATATCCGTTAATTCCTGATAGTTTATTAGGGGGGTGCTTTCACTTTCTTCACTGTTGCTCTCAGCACTAGAAGTAATAGTATGAGGAATTTGTCTAGCCAAAGATAAAAAAGAAGTACGCTTGAGAAGACGAAGACAGCTGTTGATTGCCATTGCAAATTATAGCTCTAAATGCATAGCTACTTATTTGTATTTGTATTATTTATTTATGCATTTGCTAATATTTTATCGTTTGATGAAATTCGAAATTGACCTCGCGTTAATAGCAAGTTGCTTTGTAGTGAAACTGGCATGATTCGGTAGTTTAAGTAAGAAAACTTGTCATCTAATTTTCTCAATAAAATTTTTCAGTACTTTAAATGTATAAAATTAGAATTTGAAAATTCGTAACAGTGTTAGTCTGAAATAGGGCTGCATCGCAGAAGTGTAGGAAATAGCGAGCTTGCCTTGTAGTTTATCTTGGCAAATTTTTAGTTAGAGAGAAGTATACACGTATGTGAGATGGATGAATGTTTTAGCGAAACACTCAAGATGGAGTAGTTGCAGCTTCTACTGTTTCGGCGCTTGTTGAGTTCAAGAATAAAGAGTGCTCATTCATTTTCTTGTGGGTGACCTCTGGTCATTTAAATTGACCTCTGAGCAAAGGTTCATCTACTCAATGCGACCTGATGTCATTCTGCTAATCGATCTCTTATGAAATACATTTTTTAGTTTTTTCCTGTTGTTCGGAGCATTACGTCTATTTTTCTGAAACAAATTTTCCCAGCTTCTCGTACAGCTAATTTGCATAACGCATTCCTCCCTTGCTTTATTGTACCAAAGTTGATTGCGAAGAAGCGCGAGAAATTAGGACTGTTATTTAGGACTGAAGTGCCGAATCTGATCCTATTTCACAGTACTAACGCACGAAGCTTACACTGGATTTTAATTCTAATTATGATTATATTTTTCTGTGTTAATGATTATTTATTCTAGAGATATATACCTCTCTTTCTCTCGCTCACTCTCTCTATCTCTCTATATGGTTCATTTATTTATATTTGTATTGAACTGTCGATTATTTATTTTTTATTCATGATTGTTGATTTTTTTCCACTTTGTACTAATTCTGAAATATGTTCATGAGAGTGCTTGGTTTTGAATTGCATTTCATTTGAACGTGCTAGGATGAAGTCGTTGAAATTAACTTGTCCTTCTTGAAGTTTGGAAAAGACAGACATTCTCATCAGACACTTTCATGTCTAGTAGTTTTTGTATAGAAAACAACTCGTAAAGTTGCTTTTTACTTGCATGATGAATACCTCGATCATTTTACCCTTTCATGCAAATTAGGACGTGTTCAGCGCTTAATGCATCGTATGTTTCACGTTATTCACACCTCTTTCGTTTTGAGCAAAGTTAGCGGGAATGAAGTTGCTTGTCGTTCTTGCGTAACCTCACTGCCCTATTCACTCTGTCTTGTCACATTCATTCTCCTTCTTCTACTCCATTTCGAAATATTCGCATCATTTATTCTTACCTCATTTACTTTTCTTCTGCTCAACACTGATCCTTTCCCTTGCACTGATATCACTACCAGATAATTAAATGAGGTTTAACTACTTAAAAATGTCTGTCTGTATGCACTAAGATTTTGTTCTTACCACGTATTATTTTACGCATAATCTTTAAGCTAGCGCGTTTTGGCTTAGAGGTCTGTAATGAACACCTGTTTCATCATCGCATTGGTATCGTCTTGCAACTTTAAATCTGTTTTTTAGAATTTTGAAAATTCGGATATAATTTGATACTTGCAGCTTGTATCATTTGCAAATCTAATGTTTTCTTTACAAACCGCTTTCCATAACTTTTAATTTATATTCCAGCTATTATCACCTTACTTTTGCATTTTGGTATAAATTATTATAGTTCAGCCACCTGTTTCATATTTACCTGTCGAAAACCTGTTCGATTCACCACCGCTGTTATTGTTAATAATAGTTTTTTCATCTGTGAAAATTAAGTCTGCAGTAGTTGAGTCAATGGAAGAGAGTTTCAACCTCATTTTAGTTGAAATTTTCATCGATGTGTCCAGCACGGTCATGACAAGAGGGAGTGCTGAACGTTCAAGTCTGACTTTCTTCTTGCCATGTTCTCTTTTCATTCTTGCCACAGGTTAGCCGCGACTGCCGTATCATATTAAATGGGTGACATCTCATCTGCGTAACACCATCCATTTCTTGTTCTGCGTAGCTATCTTTTTTTAATAGTGTTTTTGAAATATCCACCTAAAATATTTTTTCTTTGTTTTATTTTTCAATTGCGAGAGTTGGCGTATGGATTAAGTGATTTGATTTGACGATATGTTGTACACGAGTACAGGACAACATTTTTATGACTCATTCGCCAGCTTCAGTCTTTTTCATTACTTTGATTTTCATAGGAAATGAATTTGTTCTTGTTGTTCGTGTTCTCTATCGTTTCTCATGGAACACTTGAAAGATTCTTGATCTCGTAACTTTAAATGCTCGACGTCTGACCACGTTTTGTGGTCAATCCAACATACAAAGTTTTTAAAGTTCTACCTGAACTGTTTTATTTCTATGCAGTTTGAGTGCATAATAAATTAAAAGCTGTAGTATAACTTATTGGAATAATCGTGAACTTGTCTCATCTTATTCTTTAGAGCTGTACTCAATTTGACATTAGAAAAAATTGGTTTTGCAGATTGCGTGGAGAATGATGAGCCATCACGAGTAAGAATAAGTGAAAGTAACCGTAACGAGGAAACAACAAATTTCGGAGTTAATATGAGTAAGAAACGTGAGGGTCCTGCCATTGCTAATGCGCAAATTCATTCCATCGCAAAGACTGAAGTATTTTT